AAAGAAAGACATCCTTGACCAGTTTCCTGTATCCATGGCGATAGGAAGTGCTCTCCAATCATGTCTCTGTATACTGTGTTAGGGAAGTGCACTGTTTCCTGCTGTTTTCACTGACTTCCTCCCATTGGTGTGTGCTCAGGACTTTGCATATGGTCCTGGAACGCCACTCAGTTCTTAACCAGCGCTCCTGTTGTGTTCAGTTTTTCTGTTTCGTTCTGTTTTAAATGTACCTGCTGCAACGCCATCACGTTTGAATGAAGTAAGTTTCAATTTTGGTAGCATTTTCAGATAAACATTACTTGAATTCAAGACAGGTTTCCTTTAGAAGTGGAATTTTGTTTTCTGTCTTATATTTTTCCAATTGATAGACAGTAAATTTAATTTGAGATCAATACACTTGTTCAAAGACATGACCAACAACCACAGTTAAATTTAAATAAATTCAGATTATTAGCCATTTAGTGCGTGGTTGTTCATAAAATCATGATAATTTAGGTACCCTATGGCCTAGCTTTGAACCCATCAGCTGACTCTGCAGCTCCCCTCGGCTTAACCAAGTTTGTGAGTTGTCAGACTGTTGTTTACTGTTTTGGTTCACTCTCACTGCTCTCATAGTGTCGTTTTCGGCCACAGTAGGCAGTTGTTTTCAGTATAGAGTATACAGTAGATGTAAAATCACACAAAAGGCACATTTTTATTTATCTTGTGTTAGATGCTTCATTTGGAAACATGCAGTGATTGGGAGCCTTTTTATGTTACAGAGCATCCAACACTTAATAAAGCCTTCTGAAGCCGCTTCCTCAGAAACTTCTCATTGTGAGTGTGTCACATCAAACTATTCAGCCCCTCTGGATCAATCCTGGCAGCGATGCCGGTTGGTCATCGGGCAACCAGCAGCACCTCTCTCCAGATCCCTCCCCAGCCTGAGACTGATGTACTCGGGAGCCGACACCCAAACCTGCTGGACACCCTCCAGCCCGTCTTGGTCCAGGCCATCATCAATCCTAAGCGAGGTATGGAGGGACCCCTCCAGACACCACAACCCCCCAGGACCTGCAGCTCACCCGGACCCGCTGGGAAGTCATGCTGGAGCTTGGATGCGAGGGTGGCCGTGCTTCTGGTGATTCTGGCTGGAGCTTTAATTCTGCTGCTGCTGTACAAACTCTTACAGCTGAGACACAGGTGTGTGCATGTCGCGGAGCAATACGTGATGTAACAAAACCAACTTGATCCGCATCACATGAGACCAAATCCGTTCTGCTGTTTACACCCTCCTTACTGTTAGTCTGTTTTCTTCACAGCTTTTTGTGCATTTAATCAAAGAATAATTCATGTCTGATTGGCTTGCAGGGGTAGCTTTCAGGTATTACAATATGGGCTCTATAGTTGAGACACACACTTAGCGTTATTAATATAGCAGCTATCTTGTGATGGACAGGTTGCTACCACAGCGTTGTCCGGGCTTGGAGTTGTCTGTGTTTTCGTTGTGTGTTTTGGGCTTCACGAAAGTTATTTACAACATTTTGGTTGCCAAAAAATGTCTTATTAAGCGTTTGGTTGCACTGAGCTCCACCCTCTCATGTCACTTCTGGTTGCAAAAAACCAAGATGGTGACATCCAAAATGTTGAACTCGAGGCTTCAAAACCAATGCGTGTCGTCTCGGTCACTACGGCTGCACTTCTTATATACAGTTTATGTATATAAATAAAGGAAAACAATACAAAAACTTGTGCTGGCTTGTGTCTGACTTGTGTTGTGTCCTGCAGGCTGATGTTGGCCAGGGCGAGGCACGCGCTAGAGTACTACAGCTTCTACCGCTCCGCCACCTACACACTCAAACACGCTGCGTCGTGTCAGGACTTGCCAACCAAGGAACAGGCGGTCCCTGAAGCTACACAACCTGACCAAACCGTTACCACCGTGACAAATGCTGTCATCGCCCCACTTCCGCCCCCACCGGTGCATTCTCCGCCCCCTCTGCCACTCCCCCCACATCCTGTCCTGCCTCCACCACTGCTGCAGACTCCACCCGCTCTCACTCCAACACCTCCCGTCCTGGCGTTCCCTCTCCCCCTGCCTGCGATCCACACCACCCCGCCCAGCCCTCACCTGTCGTGGGGCGCCTGCTCAGACGCAGATGTGTACTCTCGGATCGGAGCTTTCAGGCCCTCCAGGCTCTCCAGCCTCTCCAACCAATCGAAAGTCATACTTTTTGAGCACTCATCTCTCTGACCTTTGAGGCAGAACATGACTGGAGACGTCAACATGGTGAAAAACACTGCTGACGAACTGATTATCACCCGGAGATGATTGTTTGGTTGGAGTGCTTTATGCTGTGCAGGATGCTGTGTACTGGACTTTGTGCCAGACCTCTGCAAGAAAATTGCAGTTAGGAGCAAAACATCTGTAATTATGTTTTGGTCCATTGGAAAGTGGAGTTGTATCTTAATTTAGACTGGTGGAAGAAGTATGTGACAGTCTTTCCCAAAAGAACTTCTCCAATCTCACGTGTTTTCTGACACTTGTTCTGGAGGTATATAAGAAAGTTCATGCTTATATGCTCTGCCTTGATAAGTGCTCATCATTGAGAGTCTCACAATCTCCAGTATCATCTTTAGTGTTTTGGTTTATATTGTTAATAGCAACTTTGTGAACAGAATGCCTGTTATCAGTAGTTACTGGTAGGGTTACAGTGTGTCTGATACCTCATCTGCTACAACACCTAATACAGTAACCACAGCTTTTGCTCGTCTGTTAACCAATCACTTTCAGACCAAGATCAGTGAGGTTTACAACTGTCACTCCAATTATGTAGAGAGAGGAGTGCTTCAATTTCAGAGATGCTAATCTTCATCATAGTTTGCTTTGTTTTAAATTAAGTCAGAGAAACCTCCATCGTGGAACTTTCCTGAAATTGTAAAACGGTAGGCTTTCTGGAGAACTTTAACCACAATACAGAGCATGCTGGGCACTGGACTCCAGGAAATTGTCAAAAAGTAGCTTGGTACATAACCTTGTGTAAATCAGCAAGCTGTTGTTTTATATAAATATATATATATATTATTTTTAAAATTTGATAGAGAGAGGCTATCTTATTTCATGCTTATAAATATTAGAGTGTTATCTTCTCATTTTATTTTTCCCCAGCAGACGAATATGTGTATTTTCCAAAAGAAAAGAAGACTTTAGTCGCAGCCCACAGCTCACAGCTCACAGCTTGTGAGAATGAGATGAAGTGATGAAAGATGAGTTGATAAAGTATGGCACTACACAGGGCAGCGTCAGAGAAACCTGATATAAAGTTCATATGGTGTGAACTCTGAAAGTGTTCCTGCATTCCACAACAAAAAAATACAAGTCGACCAAACTTTCTCCCTCTGTAATGCCTCGCAACCAAATATATTATCTGTGAGAGAGTCCTGACCTTTAATTTGTTGGCTTAGCTTCACTTTTTTCCCCTTAAATGCTGATAGTTAATATTCCTGAGATATACAGTATTGTCTTCATTTGTTCAATGTAGTCATTGTAGGAGAACCCATTGTTTCCCCAAATGGGAGGCATTTCCTCAGCCGGTTTTCCATGGCAGGGTCCCTCCCTGTTTCACACCACTCTCTGTGTTTCCTCTGATTCTCTCTCTGTAGCAGTCTTACTTTGCATTTCCTTCACTGACAGTCTTACATCATGACTCAGAAGATGTTTTTTTTATTCAAACAATTCTCACAATCTCAGACATGCATTTTAAATTGTTCATTTGTCTCATTAACACATTCAAAATCACAGTACAGCAAAGATACAATTAGTAGCCTACAGGCGCAACATCTTAATAACGTGTTCCTCTGTGACTCAGACAAAGACATTTACAAATTGATCGTTCTCTAAAGTAGCCCAGCCGACACACAGAAAACATCTGTCTTTTGTGGATATGACAGCCCGAGCATCCACCTTGACCCTAACAAGCTGTTAACTTGAATTTTCTTTCAATTTAACAATGTTTACCCAGCATGCCTCTCATTTATAATTCAACAATAGTTTGTAAATTCATGAGCGACGCTGTTTTACTTGGCGCTAGTTTGTTGTTTTCTGTTGAAAACCGAGACCTCGCGTGCCGTTCCTCCTCAGTCTCTTCTGTATCAAAGTCCGTTAGTGAGGCCGCTGTCTCCATACTAGAAGCCAGTTAACTCAATCCCTGCATGTACTGCAGCATTGTAAGCTGAGCAGGAAAGACATTTGTAACAATATACGGCTGCTGCAATTAAATCAAACGAGGGAAGGTCATGAAAGGATGAATGTGTTTGTGTTCTGGATCTGAATAATATTAATTGGGGGTTTACATCTCAACTGTTATTTATCCATTTTAGAATGCTCACAGAAACTCTTCATACTGCGGTAAAAATACACCTTGGGCCACTGTCATCGATTTTTTGGTTCTCATAAGCAGGTGGGTATGACATTTTTAAATGCAATTTATGCATGTATAGTATAACTTAAAGCACCTATTAGAACTGGTTTGTTACTCACTCACTCACTCATCCATTCATATTTTGCAGTTTCTCCACCAGAGGGAGCTGTTTTTCCATCTGCAGCTAACCTGAGGATTCTGTAGTGGGAGAATTCACCACCTTTCATGTGGCTGTCCAATCAGTGCTGATGGTAAACGTAGTGCGTATTGCATTGCACACAAGCGTCACTCTTACACTTAAACCAAAAGATACAACCGTACACCTTCAGAATTCAAGTTTTTACTACGATCTAAGACACTACCTCATCGTAAAACACACATCATTCAAACTGCTCCGAAACTAAATTCAAACACACCAAGACCAGTCTGTTAGTCGTTCCACTGTTCCAACAATCAACGCTTGTTTGGTAAAAATAAATCCTTAATTCACTGAGTAAGATGTGAAAATATGGCGGCTCTACACGCTGTTTTCCCTCTGCTGTCTCTTTCCACCCTGTCAGCTTCACGCTAAGCAGCTGGTGCGCTGCAGCGGCTCCATGGCGGCTCTCACTCCTTCTTCAGAGACGGACCTTTAATATGGAAAAATACAATGACAAAAATAGCCCCAAAATCGCTGTGCTGGCCTCGGTTAACTTTTCCAGTTAGTGCTGTTGCCACTGTTAGCTGCGAGTCGCCGGCTCAACCGTCGCCATGTTGAGAGCCGTGTGGAGGATATAGATATGCTCTGATTCCTGATAGAGAACTTTTAACTAAACTGCGTGTCCTTGTTCCTGAAATAAATGTAAAGACAGTTTTGTGTGGAACAGATTTGTTTTATAGTTGACACTCTGCTGGTTCATCAATCTGATGCTGGCTCCCTAAATGACTGTTTGTCCCAGAAGCACTTGACTCAAAGTGCAGATTGTTGGTAATTGCATGTGTCCTCTTCTCATCTCTGCTGCCACAGTGAGAGGAAATGGTAATTTTTCCAATTTGGCCTCAGTGTCGTCACCCCTGCATGCTACCAAAACAAGTCCTTTAATGGTAAAACTGAGAGGCAAGTGCGGTGAAGTGGAGGCGAAACGTCTCCTGATGACATCAGTGTACGTTTAATTTGATTGACTATTGAATTGAAACAATAGACTGTATATAAGAAGTGGATGTAGTCATCGTGACTTCACCCATTGGTTTGTGGACTGCCGGTTTAAAGACTCCAGTTTGGCGATTTCGCAGTCGCCATCTTGAACTACAGCCGTCGCAATGTGTTTTTTTTCACAACCAATGAACGGAGGTGACCATATTTGGAATGCAGAAGAGTGACGTAAAGACGCGGTATACGGCTTTGGTAGCGGCAGCGACCTGTCAATCGCAGTAAGCCCGCCCTAAAGCATACTCCACTTTATGGTCTATGTGACTCTAAATGAACCATAATCTACTAATTGAACATCATGCTGTATTGAAGAGATAGAGACCATAAACTCATGTTTACAATGTTTACTGAGGTAATAAATCAAGTGAGAAGTAGAGTCATTTTCTCATAGACTTCTATACAACCAGACTTCTTTTTGCAACCGGAGGAGTCGCCCCCTGCTGGTCAGTAGATACACTTCTGCATTAGCCAAAACCGGAGGTTGCCACCTAGTTGGAACACATTCAGTTTTGATGGAAGTTTTAATGCCAATACACATGGTCAGTTGAGTTGAGATCGTACATTTTATAAATATATGGGCTCATTAATTATACAGACACATCTTCTGAGTGACACAATTTATATTATAAAAAGGTAAACAAGATGATTTAAAAATGTAGCACAGCCACCGGAAGTTAAAACCATATTTTCTATCATCATGGCAAAGACCCAGAGTTCTAAACACAATATAAAACAAATGTTCTGATCATTATTTCACAAACACACATCTATGTTATGTCTACCTGCTGTCATGACCAAATCAGCATAACATTTCTTTAGTTTCTTAACATTCATCCCATCAGAGTTTCTCTGTTTAATATAAATAAATAAGATAAACACCTAAAGTTTGATGTTTCATGCTTTTATAATAGTTGTGTTTGGGAACAATTAACCCCTGTGGCTAGTAACATATATCAGGCATTTGATGCAGACAATACCTTATAGTAGGGTGGTTCTGGTATTTTTATATGATTTATTGGCAGTAAGAAAATGATGGAATATGTTCAGAGTTATCCTTTATCACAGTGATCTTAACAACAATCTGCATGATATTTAACCATAAGGGAAAGGCAAATATCAGATAATGATGGAATCATGCAGTCAAAATCTTCAGATGGAAAATGTCATGCATTGATCTATCCTTAATAACTCTGTGTGAGGACATCTGGAAATTGCTCTGCCAAGTGACACATGCTCGCTGTTTTCAAATGATGCTGTGCTTTAGAATGTTGTGTTGTGATGCTATTTAAACATTCAAAATCAGTTTTTACTATGTAGGAACTGACCACAATAGGTTCATGAACAAATCTACCCTGGGATATATGTTCACTGCCTGTTTAACAGTCATAGTCCCCTCTCAGTGATTACACCAACAGTGTTCATGAAAATATTATTCATTTCTATGCATTTGTGTCTACTTTATGAGTGTTGTAAACTAGAATTAAACAGATAATGTCCAGCAAGACGACAACTTTTAAGCCCCTAGAGTCCCCTAGGCTGATATATTCATTACACCTATGATAGAGTACTATGTTTTGGACAGAACAAACGTACCGATGATTTAGCTGTTCTTAAGACGTGTTCGGTGAATCTTAAAGATGATTGCTAATTTAATCAGTGAAAAGAGAGAAATAGACACTAATTTGACCAGAGACAGCACAAATCGAGCTAATGGCACATCCACTCAACATGAAAATGTTTCAACTTCAGCTAAAATAATGGTTCTCCTCTCAAGGCTTTATAAGTGAAATGAATTAACATACAAAGATAAGAGTAAAAAGGAGAAGACAATGGAGAAAAATAATGAAAAATGATTTGAGTTTCTGCCGAGTTATAGAGTTGGTGCATTGGCTGTTTGCGGCAAATGAACACGGACTGCGAAACCACTTAGTGGTCAAAAATTATATATACCTATATAGACCTTCAACTGCAAAATGTATGGACAGGCCAGAACCTGTTGTAATATCTTGTTCTGGACACATAAGGTTGGTCAGGCAGGCCCAAACAACATTACTGTCCCACTATAGTAAGTCAAATACAGACTTCCCCTCAATGTTATAAGAAAGCATCTTTAGCGCTTGGTATTGTTTCTCCTAAAAGGAGAAAAACAAGGCACTTGTCCCACTATTTATAGGCAGTATATAAACATAATAGATGTATAACACACTACTGTGGTTGTGAGCACATACAAGTGTTGAAAATAGCAACCTCTTGTGGCCAGAAGTGGAGTACTGCTGTATGAAAGTAAAAAAAAAAAGAGTAAAACACAGTTGTAATTATATAAAATATATCAATTATTGTCATATACTGTGCAAAATACACTTAAAATATCCTTATAGCTGCTTATAACTACCTAATAGTGTTTTATAAACAATTTATTAAATGTATATTTAATATTTATAAGCACTAATTTTAGGGGAGGCTTAAAGTAAAGTGTCAACAATCCATCACAAGCTTTTAATACTCACATTTGTTTAAAAATGTGAGTATTTTTTTGAATAAGCAAAATAAGAAAAATGAGATGCCAAAATAATAACATTTTGAAAATTGCCATAACTTTTCATTTCATATTTTCACCTGCAACTCTCAGTAAATGCAATTAGCTGACACATCCAGAGAAGAAACACCTGCAGTGGGTATAAAACACCACGACAACAAACACTGAGCCTCTGTTTGATGTCTTACTTAAAATTAATGCTCCAAAACTAAGTGACATCACCGACAGCTGCTACAGGTTGAGTATAGGGTCGGGCTTAGGGAGACGAAAACAGACCACCCTTTAAGATTTGAGAGAGGAATTCAAATACGGGGGATAGCAGCTTCTGAAAGAACATAAACATTGAAAAACATTTGAAAATTGAAATACCGAAGTCGGACCATGACCACTGAAGTTCGGATGTAAATTATATTTTCCTTTTACTTCAGCTCAGCTCAATTGCAGGGCCACAGCACCAGACAAAAACCGCCCTCGGGTTGGTGAAGTTCATTTCATAAAGATGTATATGTTGGAAGACCTCACAGCAGAGACTTCATTTGCTTGCTCAAAGCTACGGGAGAGACACTGGTGCATGACCAGCAATCATGTTTTACAGGATCCCCGTCAACAAGTTACACTCTCAAAACTGTATGACTTTGGATCTGAAGTTCGCTGAGTCGATTTTAATTAAAGGAAGCAAAGTATTAATTGCATTGATGAAAAGAGCTGTGAGAGAGTTAATTGTTACTGTATGAGTTAGAGTGATGGAGCATTACTGACGCTTGTTGTGGCTCCGGCCTGTGAGTAGATAATAATGTATTGCTGAGTCATAACACTACTTAAAGCAACACAATGCAACTTATAATAAACAATTGCATGTCACTTGGTTTGGTATGACCGGTAGCTTGTGGTGGCTAATGTTGGCTAATAAACAAATGGTATATAACTACTTCACTGGATCACCTTGCTGGCTTCATGACCCTTCTCCACCTGTGCTGCTGTTATTGTACGGTGGGCAGCACAGTGCTGCATGTCTGAATAACGGAGCTGATTCTGTCAATGGAGTCTTTTGGCTTTAAGGAGAGCATGTTCATTTTTGGTTTTGTATGATTTTATTGATCTATTAACAGGCTTACATTTTGCATTTTGGACAAGTAAGGTTTGGTCCAAGCAAGTGGTTGAAAATATCAAGCCCTGAGTAGTTTGACATTCAGCATTAATTTCATGAATGTCAATTGTAGTCTTTGTGGCCACTGTTCAGTAAACGTTACATTGACTCACTTTGAAGTCAGAGGGTCACCAGCATTACAAAAATGTTCCTACGTAGGAATAATAGTTTATTTTAATCATTTATTTTACAAGTCTGTAATTTAATTTAATTTTCAGAAAAAGTCCCCTCATAATATGAGCTATATTATTAAAAAATAGATAAAGGTTAGTTAGTTTTGTTGAGTTCATATGCTGTTGTTTATTCCCAAAATAATTTATTCTTAGAACCTATATTCTCCTTATATAATGGATTGTATTTTTGTCTTGCCCCCTATATTTCCTATAAAATACATATAAGTGCTATTTTAAATGTAAGGTTGTTTCCTTTTAAGAGAGAATCATCTGCAGCTCCTGTTCTGCTTTTTTCCTTTAAGCTTGTTAGCAACAACCGTTTCGAGAAGAACTAAAAAAAAAAAAAAAAAGACGAGGAAGGGTTTATCCCTGCGAGGCCGTGGAAGCCCGTAACGTAATTCTTCTGACAGCAGCACGCCGTCAGCGCCTCCGTAAGGCAAACATGGCTGAATAGTTCAAGAGTGTGTGGAAGAAAATGGATCCACACTCTTCACCTCCTCCAATAGGCAAGGTGATTACAGCCAAGTACTCTTGGCCGCAGTCTCTGAGGAAACCTGGCAAATACACAAGCATCTGCAATATTCCATGTAGTGTTACAGTGCTTTGGAGTCTTTAATATGGTCCTGCACATTACACAAGTGACGTCGTTGAATTTGCAATGTGTAATGATTTAGTCAGCAGGTGATGTTTGTCCTCAAGCTGCTGTTTGCTGTTGTTTTGAGGAATTGTGTTTTGAAATGTCACTTGTCAAAAGGACTAATGTGACTGTGAAACATGAGGAACTGGGCATTGAAGAGACAGCATTAACAATTGTCTTGTGGAGGAAATCCATCAATACGGACTTTGGTGTTTTTCTTTTTATATTTTGTCTCGATGTGACAGCACACAATAACGCAGTGCCGTACTGCAGGGGAAAAAAAGTGTTGTTTGGCTCAACTGAAAATGTTCTTTATTACTGATTTCTCTGTGATATTGATGGATTTACAGACACTCAGAGGAGTGAGTCTGTGCTCACTATACTTTATTATACTGTGTACAGCCAAGCAGCATATTTCAAAATGTAGGTAGGTCTTGTTATCTGACTGCTCATGCTTCTTGCCCGTCTAACTTGTTTTCAGTGATGTCTGGAGCCGGAGCCGTGATTGTAGCAATACTGAGGTTGTGATTTCAAGTCCCCACAATGCCACACAAAGACATTACACATTTTTTCCAGTGTCATTTTGACCTGTTTGTTTGGATTTTCTGTGGTCTGCACACTGAAGAAATGCTAATCCTTTAATCAATTATTTAGTCATTACTTGTTTTATTAAATTAAAAATGTGGAATATAAACTCCCTCTAGGTTAAACCCCCTAAGTACCAGAAAAAGCATGAAGACGTGAGCTCATTGTCCT